ATTCATAATTAGCGGGGGTATACTCGCCCCACTGATAGGAGGGTATCTCGTGTCTATTAATCCCACCCTTATGGTGATGGCTAGGTTAGTCATTACCAGCCCTCTTTGCATATCTAACACTTTCATCCAGTACTACTGTCTTTATTGTTTCCGTCGCCCTTCTAGTCTGGTTGGATCGAGTTTTGAAGTCGAATGATTCATGAAATCTCCAGGTTTAACTTAACCTTTTCGCAAAACGCTGCTGAAGATGTCTTGTATATGCTAATTCGTCGTTGTGGGTTGGTCTAGTTAATGATCATGAATGAGTGAGCTCCAGTGCTTGTCTACACATTGTATCTATCACGACTTTCTATCTTATCAAGCCAATAATTATAACTAGAATGATATCATAAGCGGAGCTGAGACGTAAGATGTGCTTATTTAGTTAGCCATTCGAACTTGCATCTCAAGCGTATCCGACATAAAAGTAGAAATCAAACTGGATTATGGTATTGTACTAGTTAAATATCATTCCAATATAGGAATTGTCGAGTGTTGTGGTTGCCGCTCTGCGTTAATTTGTGGGACACGATCTCCTGTGTAGAAATATATGATTACGGTGATAAAGAGATGCCCAATGAAACTCGATAATGCGTGAGTATAGATCCTTGATTCGATATTACGAAGAGGAGAGTGTGGTCACAAGCCTATATTTGTCATTATTGACTATTTAACGACATAGAAAGGGATGATACTCACCAATCAAGCCCATCAGTCAAACCTTCACCTTTGATGGCAGAGCATCCCCTTACACTCCATGGGCGTGCGTTTTCCCCGCCTGCTAAACCAAGCTCTTCGCTAATTTCTGCAGGAGGTACTGCTCCGGCCACATCTTGCTTGTTGGCAAAGACGAGAAGGGGAACTCCTCGCAGCTCATCCTCGTCAAGCATACTCAATAGTTCTGCCTTAGAAGTCTTTAAGCGATCCTTGTCCGAAGAGTCGATTACGTATATAATCGCCGACGTGTTCTGGAAGTAGCACCTCCAGTAGCTTCGGATACTCGATTGACCCTGTAACTGTTCTAGTCGATGTGCTTGAGTATAAAATAAAGACTTACTCCCAAGTCCCAGACTTGTAGCTATGTCATACACTAGTGAGTTACTTTGACAGCGCGTTGTATGTAAACATACCTTAATGTTCTTGTACATGACAGTCTTGGTTGTTAAGTTTCAGTAGAATATCAAAAATACTCTGTCAAGAGCCTTACCTCGACGTTGAAACCAATGGCTAGCGCATCACATTCAGTCTCTTGGTGCGGATTCTTTATGTCAGCACTCACTTGGGATAGTTGATACAACCTCTCCGA